GGTCTGAACTGCTGACAAAGAAGACTGTGCTTGCCCTCAAAGAACTATTGCTAAGCAGGGCCATTACTCTCATATCCTAATAAGTTTTCTTTTCCACTACCTCTGGTGGCTGGTGGAAAAGAAGAGAGGTTGAATGTTTATTAAAATAGGCTGCAAAAAATTTATGCCTACAAGGGACAGCCAAGATTCTTTGCGTTCACCACTGTATTAAAAAAATAAATTCTAGAGGGGGCGGGCTGGTATCACGAGGGTGGGTTGTTCGGAGAGGCTGCAGCAGACATGCAGACAGCACACACATGTTTAAGCCACACTGCAGATGTCGCTGATGGTCCGACTGGCCGCTGCTGTCCTGGTAGTGCAGACATAATGGCAGTTATTCCCAGTGGAGCTTACCCTGTTGCAAGAGCAATAGAAGCCTCCCGAAATCCCAGCAAAAGCACCGTGCCTTTAACCCAAAGGCCTGGATTCCGACATCATAGATTCGCCCTCTTCGTGCCTTTCCCGACCTCTTTGGAGGCAGAAATCGCCTGTGGGTCCCTAACTCCTGATGTCGAACCACACCACGAACTGGTTGGGAAGGAGCTTAAAGTGAGCGGCAGCATGCTGGAGATACACTGGATTGCGGAAGATTCTTGCCTCCTCCGAATTTCCATCATGAACTTTCTTGATCAGCTTTCCCTAGTGGTGAACACTATACATCTCTTTGGGCCTCCGATTTCCTGTTAAACCTGGCTGGGGACCCAGGTCTGACCTTATCTCCGTCTCCTCTTAAGCAGTAAAATTTTCCCCAGGGAAAAGATTCCAGAATAGTGGCTGCTACATAAAAGTGGGGGCCTAATTTTTTATCCTGATTTGGTCCTCAGGCACTTAGGGGCCATTAGAGGCCATTTGGTTTGTGCTTCAATGTTTGTTGCTGAAGAAAATAAAGCTATGCTGCTAAAAATAAATAAATAAATAAATAAATAAATAAATTGAACAATGACTTGAGAAAATTGAATATCACAAAAAAATAAATAAATTCTAGGTTTTATCTCAAAGTGTAGAGTGAAAAATTATAGATACTGGGTATATAGAATCCTTTTTAGATATATAAAATATTCTTTAGGCTTTCTTTATAAAGACATGGAGAAACCGAGGCATGAAGCAAGTTAGGAATGTAGAAAGACCAGTCACCATTACTGGAACTGGCCTATCACAAAGAGAAAAGAAAGAATGCAAGTGAACTAGGTGGAAACAAGCTGAGAACCAAGTTGAGAACCAAGCTGGGAACTGCAGTGACAGGGCAAGGCTGAAGTAACAGGGCAGGACCACATTCTTGAGAAAGATAAGCATACAGAGAGCTTTCACCTGACCCTGACTCATGTAGGTTGGGTTCCTTTGGAATGTTCCACTATTTTTATGTTATGCCACCTCAACAACCCCTCATTCCCCTCCCTATTCCTTGGTTTGTGGTTTTTCCCCTTAAAACCTCTCTCAAACTGGCTGTCGGGGTCAATTCAGCTCCTGCGTGGGCATACGAATTGACCGCCAGCTAGTTGTCACGCCCTAATAAATCTCGCAATTGCTCCGGTACATGATGCCTCGAGCAGATTACTGGGTGGCCGCGACTTTCTGAGACTTGAGTGAGCGTCTCCCCTCTGCGGAGGTCTTTAAAAGCACTTTTAGCACGAATCATGAAGCCAAACGTGTTTCCAAGTTACTAAAACGGCAATACTGTCATCTAGTGGTCAAAGCAGTACAATGCGGGATGAATTCAGCACTGAGCTCTTAGCTGTGGGCTGTTGAGGTCTGACAATCTCCCCCCCTCCCCCCACAACATAGCTGTAGCCATTTTGTTCCATGCCTGCCAGTTATTTCATATTGTTTCTGTAATATGCTTGCCAGTCATTGACACAGAAAAATAACTTGACTCAGATCACGGTCATTCTGACTACATATGCTGTTATGTTCTGAGGTTTGTTAATCTTAAGAAATTGGACAACCAAAAGCCCCACTTAGGACCAATCAGAATAAAGGTCAGTTAGAATTGTTCTGTCTAGCTAGCTAAAATAGCTTGAGTCAGAGTAGATCAGAGACAGCACTTCCTGCACCTGTACATGAGTTCAGTGTGTGTGTGTTTTCCTTTATAAACAGGCCCTGGCAAATGTTTGGGGTTGTAGCTCAGCCCCCAAATTCCAATAAACAATCCTTGTCTGACAGAAATTGGTTTATGGAACGACTCCTGGACCCCAACACTGACCGCTGAGTTCTTGAGACAGATCATTCCTGAAAGATCTTTCCCCAAATCAAAATTGCAGTATTTGGTTTTGGCTTCTCATGTTTGTGTTTTGGGGACGGGATTCTGACATCTGAATTTTATCCTGTTGTTCTTCTGTATGTATTTTCGTAGTACAAGCTGATACTCCGATGGCGATTTAGGCTGCCTATCTTGCATCTTGAAGGGTTCTGATATGGGGGTCAGATACCAGGGTGCAGAGTCCTAGTATATCCACTTCTGGTCTAGGCTGGCAGCAAGCACGTGTGGAGGCTATGCAGAGCAGGTCCAAGCAGTCCAAGAGTGCTGAAGCAGTGTGAAAAGAAGCCAGAGGCTGAGGGGGAGGGGCTGGTTTCGGCGGGGCGGGGCCACACACCTAGAAACTGAGGTTGGGAAGACGTAGTCTGTTGGCTGGTTGCTTTAGAGAGGGCGCAGAGTGGGCGGGGTTACAGCAGTGACGTTAGGGAAATTGGACGCTAAGTGTGTGAGCCAAAGGAAGTGGGAATAAAGGGTCAAAGCCAGAAGTGTCAAGAACTCCCTTCCAGAGTGAGCTGGAGCGGCTTGCACCGTGTGGAATCGCGTGTTGGAGACCTGCGTGCAGAGGACACGTTCGGGGTCTCGGGGACCAAAAACTTCCCTGAACCTCAGGTGCTTCTGGGGCGTCCTGGAGAGTCAGCAGTCAGGACCTCAGCCGCAGGAACCGCAGCCTGGAGGCCCTGGAACTACTCAGGTCAGAGGAGCTGCGGGGGCCGGAGAACGGGTGGGAGCGGAGCAGAGCATGGTCAGTGTCTCCACTACTCATAAGGATGGCAGCTCTCAAAATTCTGCTGTAGATGTCTTACCCACGTCGATAAATTTTCAATAATATTAACTGGGATAATACTATTTCTTTTTATTTATCTTCTGGCTGTCAGATATTCTCATAAGAATAATCTAGACGAATATTTGAATTTATCTGCTGATATTTGCAAACACAGTTCTCTTTGCTATGGTGGAAAGGACAAAGCTACAAATTTATAATCACCCATACTAACATCTGTGTTCTACCACTTCTCTAGTCAAGAGAGTGGCATATGGACCTAGGGACATGGATTCCCAGAGAGCTTTTAGATATCAGTCAGGAAAGGAACTTCTATAAATTTAATTGACTCTGAAAATACAATTTGTTGTGAGTTCCACAGGTATGGATGTAAACATTAACTTTTAAAAGCAAACTTTCTATCCACCATTAATTTTCCATCTGAAACATTTGCAATCTGTGGTGTAAATACAGTGTTATAAAAATGTGCAACCAGGCTTGGTGACCCTCTCCTTTTATCTCAGCACTCAAGAGGCAAAGGCAGTGGATCTCAGTGAGGCTAGCATGGTTTACATAGTGAGTTCCAGGAAAGCCAGAGCTACATGGTGAGACCCTGTCTCAAAAAACAAAAAACAAACAAACAAAAACAAGAAGAAAAAAAGAGGATGGGCAGAAAGGAGGGAAGGAAGAAAGGAAAAGGAAAGGAAAGAAAAGAAAAAAGTGTTTTCTTGTGCTGAGTTCTTAAGGTTGTAAATTAGAGCCTGGAGATCACAGTATGCTGTTTGAGGGAATCAGGTCACAGGATTTTTACAGTTAGGGCACTATAAACCAGCATTTAGTGGTGGTACACACCTGCAATCCCAGCACTCTGGAGGCAGAGGCAGGTAGATCTTGGTGTTCTTTGCCAGCCTGGTTTACAGAGCAAGTTTAAGGACACCCAGGGCTACACAGAGAAACCATGTTTTGGAGAGAATGGGGGAGGGGGAGAGAGAGGGAGAGAGGGAGAGGATGAGAAAATTAAAAGGTATTAAAATATTAGAAAACATCTTGTGAATAATTATGATAACTCATATACATCAGAAAAATCTCTGCAATCCTTTTGTCTTCTTGGTTCAGGAAAAGCATTCTGCCCATGGACACATGACCAAACTGTTATGTAGAAGTCACCATGTAGACCAGGCTGGACTGGAATTCACAGATTTCCACCGACCTCTATCTCCTCAGTGCTCACATTAAAGTTGTACAGCAGCAGGAATGTTCAACCTGTTGTCTTTTATTTTGTGATCTGTTGACAATCAGTGGTGTGGCTGTGGACTTCTCCCAGGAGGAGAGGCAATGCCTGGTCCCTGCTAGGAGGTCTCTGTACAGAGACTGCATGTTGCAGAATTAGAAGAGTCTGGTTTCTGTGGATGAGAATAGTTTTCTTGCTGTCCCCCTTGCTCCTCCTTAGGGTTCTTGGCAAATTAGACTGCAAGTATGTGGGATTTGTGTGGATGAGTCTTAGACCCCACAAAGTAAGGTGAAATCTTTAGAGGAACAAAAATTTTATGAGATGTTTTCTCTTCTTTGGTGTGTTCCTTTGAGAGTGTAAGGCTTCCATCATTTTTAGTCCATGATAAATTCAGAACTTCACTAGTATATACTATTCATATTCCAGTCGTTCAGTTCCATTTCTGACCCTCAGGCTTCACTGAGCCGGAATTGGAGGTGAGGGTCAATTTATGCTAACTGAAAATGCTTCCTAAATATTTTCAGTATTCTGACATTGTGTGACAATTAGGGGGTCACTATAGAATCCTCAATTTCATTTCTCTTTATCTATTGAACACAGTAGTAAGTTAGCCATCTAGGTGCTTTCTGAAGAATCTCCTTCTCATGTGCAGGGCTCACTGATCACCCAGACCTGCTCACCTGTGGAGCAGAACAGAGAGACCTGGAAGGTGGAGAGGGAGGAGACAGTAGCTAAGGATCCAGGTATGTTGGAGGATTGGTGAAGGGATGGCAAGGGGCTCAAGTGACCGTGTAAGTGGGACATGAAATCAGTTTTGCCACATTCTGTTTCACTAGGAATATTTCTGGAGATATCCACTGAGAAAAATCTTTTCAGGACTATCCTATTGTAGAGATGAGAAGACTTTGTATAGAAGAACTAATACTAGGAGACAATAAACTTTGACTTGACTGTGTGTGTGAGTGATGCTGTCTTCATACTGATCGTGTCTACATGCCAATATTAAATGGTGTTCATTTCAGTGATTTTAATATATTATAAAATTATAAAAATTAATACTTTTAGGTGTATTTATTGTTTTAAGAAATTTGGAGCTTTTGGTATTCTAGCATGTTCTTTTAGTGTTAATTTCTCTTTTCCTGAAAATAATCCCAACAAAGTTTTCATAAGAATCAGGAACTATATTTGCAGACAGGTAAACTCTGTCTCTCCTGTCTTCCCAGGGATACCTCCTATTGTCCGTTGTCATGACAATTCCAAGAGGTTTCCATTGCTGTAATTGTAATATACTGTGAGATCGCCTCTAGGTGTGATTCTCTTAGTGTTTTCGAGCTCTGTGCTGTTCCGTGGTAATTTCAGGATTGCTTTCTGTAAAATATGCAAATAGAACTTTAATAAAAAGTAGTCGGAGTGTTAGATAAGACAAAACTTCTTCTAGGTTGTCTTCTCATGTTTGAAAAGAACATGTTCAATGTACCCGTTTTCACATGTTTTATGTAGTCTCCTATTTATGTCTGCTGGGGATGTCTGCATTCTGGGTTTTGTGACATGCACCCATGTTTATCAAGTACTTTATATCTAATGGTCCATTTTATCATTTGCTAATACTCTTTATTTTATATTTTAATACTTTTGTCTTAGATTTTCTGCCACTAGTATAATTATGACCATCAGTCTTTTTACTACTGTCTATAGATATAGCATTTTAAAATAATGTTTAAACCTGATGGTGTTAGTGTAAGCCTTTAATACCAGCACTTTGGAGGAAGGGGCTGACTAATCTCTATGAGTCCAAGGCCAGCCTAGACTACAGGGCAAGTTACAAGACAGCTAAGGCTACTGTCTCGAAAAAAATTATTTTATAGCCTGGTAGCTTGTATCTTTAGATACTGTTGAGACCTGCCCCCCTAGCATAGCCATGGGCATTTTGTTCCATGCTTACCAGCTATTTTTTATTATTGCTGTAATATTCCTGCCAGTCAGTGATGCAGAAAATAACTTGACTCAGCAGGGTCATGCTGACCACATAGCTGGTTGTGTTCTGTATGTTATGAGGCTTGTTAGTGTTAAGAAATTCCACCACTATAATTTTTCACGTAGGACCCATCAAATTACAGGTTAATATGAACTGTTATGTTTAAAATGTCTTGAGTCAAGGCTGACAGCTGGTAGCACTTCCAGCATTCATTCCAGGTGTATGAGCTCAATGTGATTTTTGCAGTTTTATTGTTTATAAACTGGCCCTGAGAAATGTCCACAGCTTTGAGCTCTTGCCCAGCTTGATCAGTCTTGGAGTGTGCGTTTAATAAACTATACCTGTTTAACTGAGATCAGTGTTAGAATGTTTTCTGGGGCGACTCCTGGACCTCAACAATATGAAATGAATTTTTTGATAGAAAATGTGTAGGATGTCAAAGACCGGGGTTCACTTTCATGGGGGTGGGGTGTAAACTGTGGCCGGCAGCAAGGAGTGACGTGGGTGGGGGTCAGTGCTGAGAGCGGCTGGTGGAGGTCAGCACTGAGAGGGGCTGATGGAGGGTTTGAGGTATCAGTCCAGGTACTGATGGGGCTGATGCCTATGGCAGCCATCAATTAGAGAAATAACTCAGGAGACTTTTCTCTCAGGGAACAAAACTTGATTGACTGTGGCTGGCATTCCCTGTACCAGAGGAAAAACTCCGAATTCTTATAACTCTTATAACTCTTAGGGGCCAGTGAGAAAGAAAAGAGAAAATTCATAGACAGACAGACAGACAGACAGAAGCACACACACACACACACAAACTGAGTGGATGCAGCAAAAGATGGACAAATGGACAGACAGACAGTTGTATGAATGGCTGGAGCAAAGCTCCAGCAAGCATGCTCCAAGCATTTCACACACACACACACACACACACACACACACACACACACGCAAACATTTTGTGGGTGGAAGGAACACTGTTCCAACAAGCAGGCTCCAAGCATTTCACACATATACATATATACACAGAGTTGGTGGATGGAGCCAGCTCCAACAATCACCCACCCAGGCTTTACATATTTACATACATACAGATTTGATGGATGGAACAAAGTTCCAACACATTCCCATACAAACTTTACATATACATATATACAGATTTCATAGATGGAACAAGGTTTCAACATCTTCATTTTTCCTCTCATAGCTTATATATCCCAGCAAAATCTTTCAAGCAGTATAAAATTACAATGTGATTGCATTTTATTTATCTTGTAGTGAATGACTATGAAAAAACAATATGTTCTCCAATACCTTTACAAGAAATGTTACATAGGTCAGGTAAAGAAAACAAATTATTCCCAAGAACCCACTTAGACATTCATAACTAAGCAACTTGTTACAGAACAAAGTGTGAGCAAGCAAGGGAGTTTTCTCAGCCAGTTTCTCCCACTGGCAGGCAGCAATTTGTGGTTATAAAGAAAGGATCAATTATTTTATTATTTATCTTTAAAAGTAATTTTGTAAGAGTCTTAAAAGAATGACAAATTGAAACTTTTATGTAAAATCAATCATATCTACTTTAAATTCTCAGAATGCACATCTGCTCATCAGCAATTCTTATTAAATCATAACAGGAAGCTGAGGGCAAACATGGGTATAAGAAATCAATCATCACCAGTCGTCTTAGTGAGAGCCATGTCAGCCAGTGATGCTCTTGTTCTTGTTCCTGTTATGGTCTGACTCCACTAGAATACTGTAACTGTTTTGTTCCATGCCTCACAGCTATTTCATATTGTTGCTGTGACATGCCTGCCAGTCACTGACACAGAGAAGTGACTTGGCTTAGAGCAAGGCCATACTGACCACGTACCCTGTTTTGTTCTGTATGAATGTTCTGAATGATGTTTTCTAATATTAATAATTAATAATTATTTTAATAAATTTGATGATTATTTTAATAATGATCTTAATAAATCCCACAAAGCTTTCAATAGGATACATCAAATCAAGTTTCAATATGAACTGTTATGTTTAAAATATCCTGAGTCAGAGCTGCCACCAGGCAGCCCTTCCTGCACCTATGTATGAGCTCACTGTGGTTTTGGAGCTGACACTGAAGAATGCTACTAATAAGACAAAAAGGTTTTATTATAATACTCATGCGCTGTTATCTCAATGTTCTGAAATTCCCCTGTTCACCACCCATCCACCCACTCCCCACTTACCTTACTCAGGACCAATCAGCTTAAAGGTTAGCTGATAACACTTTGCCTAGTAAGCCAACTGCTCCCCTCCTTGCCCTTTAAACTTTTGAACCTGTTTTTTTTTTTTTCCCTATGAAAAGCCTACCCTGAGAGCAGACTAGTACAGCAATTAGGCTTCTGGTCCGTTTTTGCGTTCCTGGACATCCAGTATTTTGGTGTGCATTCAATAAACTATTCTTACTTAACTGAGATTGGTTTGTGTGGCAATTTCCTGAGCCCAAACATTTTTTTGCATTGGCCAGGAATACTCCTTACTCTCGAACACCCCTCAATTATTGCTAGTGAATTACCTTCATGAGAAGGTAAGTTTCTTGTACCTGCATAGTTCTTTTTCTTGTTTTGGGTTTGCCTCTGGTCTGTTCTAAACCTTTGGAGACCCAAAGGAGGAGGGCAGGACAGAGCAAAATCTCCTAAGGTCAAGAGGAGGTCAGGAGATGTACTGGTTCCCCTCTGGTTCCCACTAGGGGAACACTTGGTTCTAGTTCTGGTTCCCTTTGGTGAGACATCTGGTTCTCTTCCCTCTCGGGTATTCCCCCAACTCTATTGTTTGTCTTTGGTATGCCAGTCTATCCATATCTGGCAGTTTATATCTGTAGTTTTCTTTTGTTGCTATATTGTTGCTCAGTGTTTCCTATTCAAAGAAAAAAAATGGTTAAAGCTTCATCTGCTGGTCGTTCGTCCCTTGATATTTTAGAAGGAAAGAAGCAGTCTGAATTAGCCTAACAAAAACTGATAAACTGCCCTTGGAGCCCTGTACCTGCATCTGAAGCTGAGAGTCTAGCACTGCTGGAGAAAGTCCTGCCAGGGGCTGCTTGTCTATACAAGATACTCTTAAAGGGGCACTTCTCAGCTTCTCCTGTAAGGAAGCTGATGGCTGTGTATCCCATAAAAATCTCTAGGCCCTTATGAATTGGGTTCAGCAGATAACAGTGAACTGCTCGAATGAAATTACAGCTAGAAAAGTAAGGAAAACTTTGTCTTGGCTTCCTTCTAGTTTAGCTTCTTTGGGTCTGTGGAGTGTGGCATAGATATCCTATATTATAAGTGAATACACACACCATGCATGTCATTTTGGGACCGGGTTACCTTATTCAGGGTGATATTTTCAAGTTCCTTCCATTAACCCACAAATTTCATGATGTCCTTGTTTTTCATAGCTGAGTAGTATTCCATTGTGTAGATGTACCACATTTTTTAAAAAATCCATTTTACAGTTGAGGGACATCTAGGTTATCTCCAGTTTCTGGCTATTAGGAATAAAGCTGCTATGAACATAGTTGAACAAGTGTCCTTGTGGGATGTTGGAGCAACATCTTTTGGGTATATGCCAAGGAGTGGCATAGCTGGGTCTTAGTAGAACTATTCTCAGTTTTCTGAAAAACTGTGAACTTGATTTCCAAAGTGGTCAAAACTGTAAGTTTTAAGGTTCAAGTCTGACAGAGATTGATAGTAACCTTGAAGATGATCAAATTCTTTAATATGTTAACATATTTAAAGTCACGCTAAGTATTGATGCAGTTAACTATAAGATTAAAGCTTTATTTAATCTCCAGTATTATGTTTGAAAGATACAGTTTGAAACTGATAACTAAGACAGACAAAGGTTGTTTAACTCAGGTTTGCTAGGAAGGTAGTACAAGTAGCCCTCAAATTAGGCAGAGATCTGCTAAATATGGAATTAATATGTTTAAACTTACCGGGACAGACAGAAACTCCAGAATCCTAACAATGACCCCCACAGGGTCTCCAAGAAGATTCGAGCATAATGACATAGAGCACCACCGGGTTTGTGGGATGATAGCCACTGTGTGTAACTGACATAAGGCACCACCGGGTTTGTGGGATGATAGCCACTGTGTGTAACTGCCCCAATCCCTTGCCTGCTGCCAGGGCCCAGCCTAAACTGTGGTCAATCAGAAGACAACTGGAGAATTGATTGAGGTAGGACTATTCCCACTTTTCTGAGAAACAGACTTTGGCAGTGTCCTCAGGACACATGTTCCTCAGGGACATGCCTCTTGGAGGCTCATCCATCTTGGATGTACTAACCAGTGGGCCCTGTTCCATGAGTTCTAAAGCTGTTTTCCATTCCTCTTGCATGGCCCTCAGCAGAAAATATTTATTTTAATGTTGTAGAGGGAAAAGTTACGGATACTGGGTATATAGAATCCTTTTTAGACATAAAATATTCTTTAGGCTTTCTTTACAAAGACATGGAGGCATGAAGCAGGTTGGAAATGTGGACAGACTGGCTAGAATGCAATTTAGCCAGGTGTAACCAAGCTGAGAACCATAGTGACAGGGCAAGGCCGAAGTAACAGGGCAGGACCACATTCTTGGGAAAGATAAGCATACAGAGAGTTTTCACCTGATCCTGATTCATGTAGGTTGGGTTCCTTTGGAATGTTCCACTATTTTTATGTTATATCACCCTAGCAACCCCCTCACCCCCTTCCCGTTCCTTGGTTTATGGTTTTTCCCTATAAAAACTCCTTTCAAACTGGCTGTCGGGGTCAATTCAGCTCCTGCATGGGCATGCGAATTGACCGGCAGCTAGTTGTCACACCCTAATAAATAACCTCGCAATTGCTCCGGTACATGGTGTCTCGAGCAGATTACTGGGTGGTCGCGACTTTCTGAGACTTGAGAGAGGGTCTCCCCTCTGCGGAGGTCTTCAATGTCAGCTGTCATTTTTCTTTTTTTGAATACTGTTCTCTGTTTACATCTTTAGCTTAGGGAATATTATCTGTTTACATTTCAAGAAATTACCTAAAACATACATTTGTTGCTGTTTAGAAACATGAGTGTGGACACTGACTAGACAGAATTGGAATCTCTGTATATTGAATTTACAGAATCTTATGGCCTATAATGTAGAGCTTTTAACATGTGCATATTGGCCACTGCAACTGCTGTTGATCATTGTGTGTTCAATTCAGTTGCTAATCTATCTATCTATCTATCTATCTATCTATCTATCTATCTATCTATCTATCTATCTATC